AAAATTTTCTAAAATGTCTTTGACTACTTAAGCAAGTTATTCTATTACATAAAACAAAGCAAAGGTATTAATTTTGAAAGTAAACTAATATGTATTTTTTAAATAATTTATTTCAAGTCATAGGTAAAGGGAATCAGAAAAAAATTAATGGACACCATTCTGGATCACTGCTTGTGTGTTAGGAGACAACAGCAGGTAATTTTCACTTTGTGTTTTTTGCAAATGAGGAAGTGTATCTCTTAGAATTTAGCTTACTTGATAAGGGCCAGTATATGGCAAGACTGGAATTATAATAAAAGTCTACCTGTGATACAGAAAGAGAAATACCGCATGATCTCACTTATATGCAGAATCAAAAACAGTCAAACTCATGGAAGTAGAGAGTAGGATGGTGGTTGCCAGGAGATTGGAGGAGGAGATGAAGAGATGTTGGTGAAAGGGTACACAATTTCAAATTCATATATTGAAATCCTAATGACCAATGTGATGATTTTAGGAGGTGGGGCCTTTGGGAGGTGATTAAGTCATGAAGGCAAGGAAGTACCTCATGTGTCATGAATAGGATTAGTTCCTTAATAAAAGAGATGTCAGAGATCCCTGGCTTCTTCCACCATATAAGGAGACAAGAAGTTGGGAGTCTACAACACGGTAGATGGCCTTCACCAGACTGGCACCCTGATCCTGAACTTCCCAGCATCCAGAATTGTGAGAAATAAATTTCTGTTGTTTATAAGGCACTCATTCTGTGGTAGTATAATGTTACAGCAGTTAACATAAGGTAGTATGTTACAGTAGTGCAAACAGATAAAAACACATGGTGACTAGTTATCAATACTGTTTGTATATCTAAAATTTGCTAAGAGAATATATATCTTAAATCAAATCTTACTATACACAAACACACACATGTGCACAGGCATACACATACTCACAAAATGGTAACTCTGTAGAGGTGATGGATTTCTTAATTAGCTTGATTGTGGTGATCATTTTACAATGTATACATATATTTAAACATCAAACTTTACGCTATAAATATTTACAATTTGTATATGTCCATGTTATCTCAAAGCTGTTAAAAAAACTAAACACAAAACTATGGCTGTGAGATGAACATTTTGTGTGTGTATATCGAAAGCAGAACTGGAGTAATTTTGACAGAGGTATCAAGGACCTGGGAGAAATCATACAAGTTTTATCTTTGTATTATATCTTACATCTGCATGTGAATCCACAGTTATCTCAAGTTTTTTTTTAAATATTGCCAATTTTAGAAAGACTTCTCTAGGCTACAAATGTTCCTTTGATTTTAAATTCTTCATTGAGCTTTTCTTGTAGGTGGCAGACATAGCCCAGGAGGAGCATGACTGAGTTTGGTGTATTCAGCAATCTGTTGGTATTTCTGGAGGACCGGGCATGGGCCTCAAGGGAGATGAGTGCACAGAGGAGAGACTGCAGAACTGGGCAGCAGTCTTATCATCAAGACTCCTTTATATAGGCAAGAGGGTACTAGAAATTTCTCCAGAGTATAAAAATACTACTACATATTTACACATACAAGAAGCAAATGTAGCAGCTTCCCCAGATGCCTCTGGCTTTAAGGTCCTCAAGTATCCTCATTTCCTTCTCTCTCCTGAAGGAGGGCAGGCAGTGATGCCCTCTGTTGTTGCTGATTACAGATTACAGATGTGACCCAGAGGCTGTGACAAAAGGAGCATTGAAGACTTATAATTTCCCAATGTTGAACATCCTCTTATTATTTTGGTCCTATGATGTTGTATGCTTCTCCTTAGAGTAAGTCATTTTTATATTACTCAAATTAATCATTTAACAGAGATTCTAAACATCATTAGCTAGAATTGTATAACAATTTTTAAATTGTTTACTTATTAGTAATAGACCGCTTTTCATTCACAATTTCATTAGCTGGTATAGATATCTTTTGCCTTTTTTGTGTGTAAAATGATCACATTCTCCTTCTACTGTCATTTTGTTTTTAGTATTTTTATTTGCTTTTCACTTATTTCAAAGAGTAAGTCTCCCCTGTATGAAAGGAGACAGCTGTTTAGAGGCAGGAAGAGGCTGGGATAGCTCCCCAAAGGTGAAATCCTTGCCCACCTTTACGGAAGACCACATACTGCTGCAGTTGCCTTCACCTGTGACACCAGCTAGTGGTAGTTGAGAGTTAATGACTCAGAAGGGAAGGAGCAGGCTCAGGGCAGGGAGGAAGCTGCAAATACCCACCACTGCAACTGCAACAAACACAACACAGCCTTGACATTTTCAGATTTCAAGCCCCATAGCTACAGCACCGCTCTCTCAGTCAGTGAAGAAGATTAAGATATTTTTGTTCTTGTTGGGGCAAAGTGACATGATTTGCTTAACAAACAGGAAGGCCTGTGACATCTGAAACACCTGTGAAGACATGGATGCCACTTTTAACACATCCGTTTACTTTAACTTTCCTACAATATATTAAACATCAAAAATGAACTCATGACACACATTAAACAGATATAGCATAAAATTTATGATTTTATTTAAGAGGACCACTTGGCATACAGTATGTTTAGGAGCAATATATGTACCATTTATTTATCTACTGTGAGGAAGTTTTTACCCTATAACATGAAAATAATAAGAGCTATGTTATTAAGTCTCCAAAATCCTCAGTACTAACTGAAAACACTCAGTGTCTGTGAAGATAAATTTATGTGTCAAGTTGGCTAGGCCTCAGTACCTAGTTTTGGCCAAACACTAGTCTAAATGTTGCTGTAAGGTTATTTTCTTGATGCTATTAATATTTAAACCAGTAGACAGAATAAAGCAGATTGCCCACCATAATGCAGGTGGACCTCATCTAATCAAATGAAAGGCTTAAAAGAAAAAAGACACAAAACTCCCCACCCCCCAAAACAGTAATTCTGCTCCAGACAGACTTCAAACTTGGGCTGCAACATCAACTCTTCCCTGGTTCACCAGCCTGCCAAACTGCCCTGCATATTTTGGATTGTCACCCTCTACAACTGGATAAGTCAATTCCTTAAGATCTATCTATTGATCTATTTACATGTACATCCTATTGGTTTTGTTTCTCTGGAGAACCCTGATTATTAGAGGGTCTAGGAATGTTCCTGTACAGTGTAGTGGCAAAGTGACACTGAGGAGAAAAACAATTGCCACACCTCGCACCTCAGGGAAACAAATGATAGGTACTTGAGCTGGGAAGGTACATGGCACAGCAGAGCAGAGTACATGCTGTACGTGCTGAGATTAAGAACAGACCCAGATTTGGACATCATGGAGAGATTACCACAGGATGAAGAGATTGTACAGCATCATCACAGAGCAAAATGGAATGTCACTGGAATCCCATATTAATGAGTGCAGGATACATGTTTATTTCAATTAAGATCTCAGGTCCCCAAATAGAGAAACTACTGATCACCATCTGGTGATGGCTCTTGATACTGCTGCCTGCATACTGTCTGTTGAAGATTCCACAGGTTGAAGATTTCTTATTCCCTGAGATTCTCCTAAGCCCACTAACACTTTTCACTTCGGATGCGCATCTGCCTCATTAGTGACTCAGTACAGTCCTGAAGCCCCAGAAATAGCAGATGGAGTTATTGCTACTCAGTGGTTTAGAGCTGATGGAGAGGGAAAAGCCCTAGACCTTATTTGCAGAAAGCAAATCAACACTTGGTACCCACCAGACTTCTTGAGTCCAGGTTACCTTCTCTGGTTGTTTACTGGGAAGAGAGAGTGCAACTGGAAGCAACTTAAAAATTCTATACTGTCTTCAGTAAACGGCTTCATTTTGAGACCACAAGGCTTTGTTAAAAAGTAGATTCACAGGGCCAGCCTGGTGGCATAGTGGTTAAGTTGGCATGCTCCACTTCAGTGGCCCAGGGTTCGTGGGTTTGGATCCCAGGCACAGACCTAGCAAGGTTCATCAAGCCATGCTGTGGTGGCATGCTACATAAAATAGAGGAAAATTGGCATAGGTGTTAGCTCAGGGCCAATCTTCCTCACCAAAATAAATAAATAAATTAATTAATTAAATTAAATAAAGAAACTAGAGTCACTCAGTGTGCAGATCTTTTCAGCTGTATATAAAAATTCAGGTTTTTATTTCCTCATAACTAGGCACTTCATCCTGACCTGGAGGACCAGGCATCCCAGTAAGTGAAATGACATGAACCTCCCTGTACTGTCATTTGTCAGTAATACAAGAGTACAGATTTTAGCAAATGAGTGAGAGCCTCAGTCATTGTAACAATGGGGTGACAGGATTGCAGAGGTCAAAGGAAAAATTCAGACCAATTTCCTGAAGATTCCACTGATGAACATGAAGATATGCATGTGTACATACAGACACATACACACAAGCACACATATACTGGAAATATCCACTTCGGAATCTTTAGTCTCAAAAAGTCATCCAAAGATGAGGAAGTTGGGAATTCCTGGGGAGAAGCAGGGATGAGAGCAGATACCACTTGACCAATGAGTGCACTTCTTGTTTTTTTTTAACTCTGAACTTGGGTGAGGGAAGTGTTTTGAATAAAAATACCCAATACATGGAGAATCCCACCACATCCTGAATGAACCTCCACTGAAGAAACAATTCCCCTCCTATCTCACTGAAGGTGGAGAACAGTCTTTCCTCTTCGTCCCTGAGAACTTTCACTTCACTGCAAAAGTAAGGCTGACCAGGGCACCCAAAACACCTACACCATCATTCGAAGTTCAGCAATTCTACTTCTGACTCTTATCGTATCACTGCGAAGAATAACTTTGTAATAGTGGGTAAAGAGAGCACAAATTAAAATTCAACTTCATGACAGAGAATTACAGCAGAAAATGAAAAAATAATAAGATGGGCTGGCTAAACAGACTCACTTATTTACAATAAACTATAATTAAAAAAATTGTAATCCTTTAAGTTATTGTTTATTTAAAAAAGCAATAGTACTAATGTTGAAAATAAACTAATATGTATTTTTAACATCATTTATTTCAGTCACAGTGAGGAGGAGACAAAAAATGATACACACCATGTTGGATTACTGCTTAATGCTAGAAATGACGGAAGTTATTGAAAAAATTCTGTTTTTTAAATTTCACAGTACTACATTCAATAAATTCCATATTTTTTTTTACAAATAAGAAACTGAACCTGATAGACTTTAGTTTACTTGATAATGGCCAGTGTGTATCAACATCAGAACTATAATAAAATTCTAACTGTGATAGGCACGCACACACACCCCCCTCCATGTATCACAAGCAGAGCTGGAGTAGTCTTGACAACAGAGCAGTGTATCTTGGATCTGGAAAATGAAACTTCAGTAAAAAGAACCCTAGAACCCCTGAAGAAATGAAACTATTTCATGAGACACTGAAACAGCGTATATTTTTCAGTAATTAGTAGAGCAAATATTTATTACTTAATGACATTTGTCTTCACACAGTGATCCTAAGTATGAAGCAGTTCCTATCCTAAGATTATTCTAAGAAAATAAACACAGCATTTAAGTACGTCATTCAGGGTTATACTGCTAGTATGTGGAGAGACAGGATTTGAACTCAGACACTCTGGATACAAACATCCACTCTTAGTGCATAGTATTTATATTTTCTCCTTTACTCCTTGATGAATAAGAGGCACCATGGGTAAATTGACACACCAAAAGGACTCATTATTTCATGGATAACTCCTATACAAGGTCTTCGATAAGGTACAAAAATTATTGGAAAGCTTTCCTTCATATTCACAGTCAGTGGTAGAGGAAATGAGGCCGTAAAAATTTGGCAGAGGTGTTACCTCAATACTGATCTTTCCTTATGAGGCATTAGTGATTTTTCCTTGGGAGGAAGGAAAATGATGAATTAAGATTCTCTCCTAATGCAAACATGATTTTGGGAAAAATATGACACAAGAAAAACTGTACATCCTATTGGTGAATGAGGGATGTTCAAGTGGAAAAAGAGGGAGGCAGCAAGGAAAAGATGGTGAGAATGTCGCAAATGACCTGAGTGTGTTAAATACACCCAAGGCAAGAGGCACTACAAAGTGAGTGAGGGTATAAGAAGGCTCAAGAGGTGGGCGAGCACAGAGTCATCGGGACAGGACAAGTCATAGGATTGAAATATGGAAAAGTTTCTTGAGAAAAGTAACATGAAGAGAATTTATAGAGGAGAAATCCATGGTTTGTGACATTGAAAAATGAGACAGTGCCAGCCTCATAGTCTAGGAAAACACCAACACGAAAGGGAGGAACAGTTAAGGAGAGGGTTAAGAACGAAGGACATGAGGGGGAAAAGTTCTCAAAAGCATTATATTTAGAGCAATTTAGTAACCCTATAACCCAGTAGCCATTTTTAGGTTGATATCTAGAGTAACTATCTTGATAATTTTCACTTTCTTGAAATAAAATCTTCATGTTGATTTCAGGGCTTCTTCTACTATATACCCCAAGAATCCAGGCACTTTTCTCTGACACATCTACCTCCCAGTAATGTTTCCCTGATCTGATAACTTGGGAGCCCAGAACATCATAATCATCATAATCCCAATATGCATTTCTCCGTGGTCTCACTGGTGAGTCCAGAATACCACAATCATCAAAATTGTAATTTTGATATGCATCTGTCTTTGGTCTCACTTGTCTCCGATCCGCAGAAAAGGAAACATTTGATTTAGAGTTGACAGGATCCAGTGTCATGTGAACTGTAGAAAAATTACAGGGTTGGGTGAGAGATATGATGTAGCTTTATTATACATCATAAACGTATGCTATTGTGAGAGAGATCTTGAGAATAACTTGAGTGGGAATTAGGAAGAACTCTGTTCTGTTCTTGAGGGAGATATATAACACTGCAGAAACATAATATGGATGTGTGTTTTAGAAGGGAAACATGGGTCTTAAACATGCGATCCACTAGAAAATGCACAATTCTGAAAGATGATGATAACAGGGTAGGCATGATGATACTGTGAATTCTACTTACTCCAGTAGCGTCGCACGTCTGTGAGCTCTGAAATGACAAAATCCATAACATTACATATAAGGAAAGGAGTCAGTGCTGAAAGCTATTTCCTGTGCGGATTAGGGGAAGGATTGGGGACTATGGTGAGATAGTCAACTGGTAAATGAGAGGATAAATCAGACACATGGCCACTCCTCATTAAATATGATCATATAATCAGCACATGATATTCATCCTTTTTATCTCTTCTATCCAGACTTAGAAAGTGTACCCTCTTCCCCATTTAGCCTCTGCTATCACAAATTCCCACAGCCACCCCCTTGCTCTAACATTCCTCACCATTAAATGCTTGCAGTATCCCTCTCAGGTCAGGAACTCGGCACACTCTCTTTTGTTCCACGGGAAGAGTTTTTGGCTTCCTCACAGTCAAGGTCTTACTCCTAGGGAAGATAAAAATTGATCCATACAACTCTTTTTGTCCCTCCAAAACTACTGACTTCCTATCTTTTCACTGAATGATTCACTTGAACCCTCTTACCTGGAGGCTCTGAGAAAAGAGACAGTAAACTGCTGACCTGGGAGCCAGCAGACCTGTGCTCATGTCCACCTTCTCATTTACCCTCTGTGTGACCTTGGGAAGATCTTGACCTCTTAGGAACAGATTCTTCCTTTCAAATAATATCATTAACCTCTCCCACCCTACCTCCTAGAAAGCATATGAAATTATATGAAATAAAAGATTTAACAGACAAAACAAGATACTGCTACTTAAAAAAGATTAACGTGTAAAAAAGCAACTGCATGGATGTGGGTTCCCAATGAGATGACCAGAAAATGAGGTTGCAGAACTTAGTTGCCGGGTGTTTGAGACATATTAATTGTGGGAATACTGTCTAGAGACCAAGATCTTCAGAGTCTGCTCCGCAGTAGGGAGGCCTTCAAAATAACATCTGAGATTTCAGATTCTCAGGGAACAATTATAAACAATTGGAAACCAAACATTATAAAGACCAAACTAATAGTGGTCTGAATTTCAAGTGTTTAGAAAGAGCTAGATGCTGCCATGTAGGTGTGCAAATATGGACAGAAGGATGTCACCTTTCCATCCTGGCTTCTGAAGTATATGACCAAGTTGGATCAATTGTTTGCCCCAGGCCAAAATATTCTGTGAGATTCAAGTCTGTTTTTGGAAATCTAAACAGAATCATACTGAAACACCTGGTCTCTTCAATTCCCAGGGCAGAAAGGTAAATATAAAAGAGATGTCTTGGAAGATAAAGAAGACAGGACCTTCTCAGGAAAGGTCAAGCACCTAAGAAATATGGGAACCTGAATCAGACACAGGCATGCAGGGTGAATAAATTTTAGGAAGTCACAAGGTTCTGATACTGCAATGCCTTGTCCCTAATACTGCTACTCACCCAAACTCTGCGACTTCCCAAGAGCTAAATTCCCTACCACAGAATCTGGTCCATTCTCAATAGTTAGAGAACACTTAAGCCATGATGTGTGAACAGAAATTTAAGATAAAAACTCCACCCAAACTTTTACCGCCCTGAGCAATATTTTGTCCTAACTGACCATCAGAGAATTCTAATGACTTTAAACCTTACTTCACAGCAGGAAAGGACCATCTCTGGTCGCCCTCACATACCTTTTCATGATGTCATTCACATGCTAGGGAGAAAAGAGGAAACATGAGTTAAGAAACGATATGCTCTCTCCACTAACAAAGTTTTATCACATCCTCACCAACCCCTGGAGTGGTGGGTATAGAGATGGTCCCAATGTGAGAGCCAAAAATAAAGACCCAGAGCAATCATTCCTGAAGGCTCTTGAGAAGTTGTCACATTTCCTAAAAGATAGAAACAGCTTTACCCTGGTGGAAGCACAGCATGAGATTCCCCGTATCTGCAGATGAGACTGATTTTTAGGAAAAAAAAGAGGCCCCCATAACTTTTTCTCAAAAGGCATAAGGCTCCTTATAAGACAATTTGAATAATTCATAGTCTTTTCCTTTATTTTGTGGAAAAGTAAAGTGACATACTATTATTTCTCAAGTATTATGCAGGGCTTTAGAGAATAAAAAATGGGCAAATAGTAATAATATTCCTCAAGAAGTTTGCACAGTTTTTCCTGAGGGTACAAGTAAACAAATATATTAATCTAGGCATTTCTCAAGTCTTTCTCTTCTCATTTTACATACTATCTAAAGATGACCTCATCTATTCCCTTTAATTAAACACACACATATGTGTAATTGATTCCCAACTCTTCATTTTTACCTGTTTGCTTCTTAAATACAGATTAATATATTCAATAGTAAAAAAGCCACAGAAACCAGTAACTTAGAATTTCTAATAGGTAACTTTCTATTCACCAGCCAAATTGTCTCCTCTCTTATACCCCATTGTCCATAATGTTACCAATATCCACTTGGCCACTGTCCTGAAAACTATAACATTTACCCTGCACATCAGTCTCTAATAAGTCGCTTTAGTCCACATCTTTAGCAGTTTTAGCCATCTGATCTTCTTCATCACCACAGATATGGTTTTTTTGTGTGTTTTGTTTTTTTGCTGAGGAATATTAGCCTTGAGCTAACATCTGTGCCAATCTTCCTCTATTTTGTATGCAGGTCACCACCACAGCATGGCTGACAAGTGATGTAGGTCCACTCCTGGGATCTGAACCCATGGAACCAGGCCACCAAAGCAGAAGGCACTTGACTTAACCACTAGGCAAGAGGGCCAGCCACACAGATATTGTTTTATATTTTTTTTGAACAGATGTGTACCAATGTATTTGGTCTTTTTTACCTCAGGTGTACTTCCTTCATGTCACAAGAAACTAGGCCAACAGCTGGGTCTACAAATACCATAAAAATGGTTTTGTTCTCTGTGTTCAAACTTTTTTGTTATAATATGACAACAACCAAATAAAATTAGATTAAGTAGAAAAAAGGATTTATGGGCAGTTATAGCTTTAGTCAAAGCTTAATTCTGAAGCTCAAAACTTGTCATTAGGATCTGTGTCTTTCTCCACATTCTATTTATTCTCTCTATACTGACTTTATTTTCACTTCATAAAGGAAACATGAATCTCTGATATAAACTCCAGAAGAAAAGAGAACGTCTCTTTTCTATTATTACAGAAATTCTGAGATCTGCATGGCATTTTCTACATTGGATCAGGTGCCCATATTAAAAGAATTACTGTGTTGATGCTGGAAGGAAATGTAGCAATGTTGATGGCAAATTTCTGTATTTTACTGGAACTAAGTTCATGTTAATCTCATGTAGACTGTGATAGGATAGGATGCATATTACAAGCACTAGAGCAAACACTAGGAAAAAACTAAAAAAAGTACATTTAGAAAAGGAGAAAGCAAAATTTTGTACTAAAAACATTTGTTTACCACAAAAGAAGCTAGTTAAGAGAAAGAGAAGGATAAAATCTACAGGAGACATATAGAAAGCAAATAGCAAACTGGATAATTTAAACACAAAAATATCAACGATTGCATTAAATAATATTGTCTGAATACTTCAATTAAAAGGTAAAGATTTCGAGAATGGATAAAAAGCAAGATTTAATTACTCTTATTTGCATGAGACATATTTTGGATTCAAAGACAGAAATAAGGATAAAGGTAAAAATATAGCAAAATATCTACCATACAAGTAGTAATCATAAAATTGCTCAAGTCTATATTAATATTAGACAAAATAGACTTTAAGAAAATAAATATTTTGAGAGAATGAAAGTACAGTTTCACAGTGATAAAATGTTCAGTATGTAAAGATATAAGAAATATAAATGTGCATACACCTAACAACAGAGGTTCAAAATACAGAGACTGAAAAGAAAAAGAGACAATTCAATAATAATATTTGGATAACTGAATACCTCTCCCTGTCAATAATTGAGAGAATTGCTTACATGAAAATGATCAAGGATTAGAAGACATGGAGTATACTACTGACCAATTTACCCTAACTGACATCTTTAGACCATTTTACCAAATGAATGCAGAATATACATTCTCTCAAATTCACATAGAAAAAATTCTACATACAATGGTTTAGGTCATAAAAAAGTGTCAATACAGGGGCCGGGCTGGTGATGTAGTGGTTAAGTTTGCCTGCTCCACTTCAGGAGCCTGGGATTCACAGGTTCAGAGCCCAGGCATGCACCTAGCACTGCTCATCAAGCCATGCTGTGGCAGCACTCCACATAAAATAAAGGAAGACCGGCACAGATGTTAGCTCAGTAACAATCTTCCTCACACAAAAATAAAGGGTTAATACATTTAAAAGACTGAAATAATTAAATATATGTTCTTTGATTACAGAGGAATAAAAGTGGAAACCAACAGCAGAAGAAAAATTAAGAAATCACTAAATATTTTTTTAACTAAACAACACAATTTCAAGTATCGCAAGGGTTAACAAGAGAGTCACAAAGGAAATCTGAAAATAAGCTGAACTAAGTGAAAGCAAAAACTAAATAATCAAAATGTATAGAATACAGCTAAAGCAATGCATTTATCATTACAGACTATATCAGAAAAGATAGTCTCAAATCAGTGATCTAAGTTTCCACTTTAAAGAATACTAGAGAAGAAACAGCCAACTAAACCTAACACACACATACACACACACCTGCATGTACACACATACACACACAATGAAAACATTAAAGGTGAGAGCAGAAATGAACGATATAGAAAGGTAAAAAATAAAGTTCAATGAAATAATAAAGCTTGTTCTTGAAAAAAATCAACAAAATTGACCAAACATTACTAAACTGACCACAAAAAAAAGTGAAAAAGCAAATCACCAAAATCAGGAATAAAAGGGGGAACATTACTCTGAGCGCTGTTGAAATCAAAAGGTTTATAAAGTATTATTACGATTAACTTTATGAATACAAACCAGACAACTTAGACAGAATGGACCAATTCTTACAAAGACAAACTTTTCCAAAAACTGACTCAAGTACTATAAACAATCAAAATAAACCTAATATAAGGAAAAACAGTATTTTAAAGCTTCCCAAAAAGAAAATCTCAGGGGGAGATAACTTCCCTGGTGAATTCTAATGAATATTTAAAGATGAACAAGATCAGTTCTTCAGAAATTTTTTTTCAAAAAATAAAGTAAAATCTCAACTCATGTTACCAGGGGAAAAAAACAGCAACAAAAACTCTTGGAATCTGAAGTGCCTTTATTTGCCTGTGACTAAGCTAGATCACAAAGAGGTACCTGATAAATGCTTAACATAGACCTCAGATAACAAGGGCCTATAGAGTATCACTGGAAAAAAAAGAGAATTTTCTCTCAAAGGTCAAATTTTTGCACTGCACTTGATAAGTTAATAAAAATTGAGATTTTCCCTTGTTACTTATCCATTCAATTATTCCTATAACTTCTGAAATAGTTTCAGGGAAGGTACTGCAGGACCAAAGAAATCTTAGTGTCACCGTCAGGAAGAACACAGCAACCCAGAGGAGGAGGAAACTAGTCTTCATTTTCTCATATCTCAGGTGATGGGATTTCTTCCCAAGTCTTACCTGCAGCATCTCCATTGTTGACCCCTGCAACCGATGCTCCAGATCTGAGATGAGAGCGCTCACCAATTGCTTCTGCTGGACCAGCTCATTCTCAGCCTCAGCGAGGTGATGTAGAATATCTGCCTCCTCTTTATTTAACTTCAGCAGCTCCTTCTGCTCCTCAGAGTCCAGGAAAACTCTCACTTGATTAAACTCTGCCTGGACACTTTTTTTCTCATTTTGCATTTTATTCTTCAGGAATGAAAAAGAGAGAGAGGTACTGAGGCTCTCAGGCAAAGACTGGGAGATAGAAAAAGAACTATCTTCTTTGGGAAGTTCTCACAGGGAAGTGACTTAGAAGCAGGGGAGCAATTCTTGGGGAAGCTGACTTTTCTTGTTATTTTCTCTTTACCATATTCGAAAATAATGCCCACAAATCTGTATTATTGAGACAAACCCTAAGCCAACGTGGATACTTGGGTATGGGTCAGCTTTCACACAGCTGTTCAGGATTAACAAAACTTTATGCATTACTCCTGACCCCTAATCCAACCCTCTGCTAAAAGTTGAACACTGCAATAGAACCACGAACCATTGCCAAATGTCTTCCCTGAGGAGAGTAAAAGGCTCAAAAATATGACAGCAAAGGAACACAGAATTCACTAGCCATGCTCACTAGAGAGTCCATCTATGTGAACACCTCCCTCCAAATGTTTGTGTTCATTTGGACAAGTTCACTTTTCAATCCCCACCCCTATCAGGGAAAGGGTAAGGAAGAGGACTATCAAATGATCTTGGACATATCAGTTGTCAGGGAACAAAGAGGAAGTGAGCTTCTTGTGACTAATAGCCAAGGTCTTGCCCAGATTTCACGTAATTCCCTCAGTAAGTGTCTCCTCCTACCTTCCATGAAGTTCTTTCTTCTCTGACATCAGCTTCCAAGCTCTCAGCTCTCTGCTGCTCTTTCCTCAGCCTCTCCAGAGCTGTCTGGAGCTTCTTCTGTGAGAAGGAAATCAAACCAGAGTCAAGCACTGGGCTTTCTCAGCATAAAAATATAGGATAAATGGGGAAGAAATCAGGCTATTCTCCAGAGAGATTAGAGTTTAAAGAGACTGTGAGAACAATAATTAGAATCTATGACTTGGAAGAAAACCTGAGATGGTGAATGTGTTAAGACTTAGGTGTTAGAAATCAGCATCCTCTCACCAAGAGAAGACTGATTCTCTTTGTTCTAGAGAAAACCTGATCCTGAGGGAAGGAAAGAACTTATCTTTCAATCCACCAAGCTGCCCAGTTATCCCCCCTGTTCAAAGGGTGATTAGAGCTTTTCTTGGGTACCAAATCTCCACCTACTAGCAAAAGGTACAAAAGTGTCTATTTCTGGCTAAGAGTCTTTATCGTAGGCTTATCCTTTTATAATTGGATGGAATGCACAGAAACGTCTTTCAGGCCTCAGGAGGTGAAGATAGGAATAAAAGAGATCACAGGCTCCAGGGCTATGGTGACAAGGTAATTAAAGTCCAAAGCAAAGTGGAGATTTTTCATGAAGTATCATTTTCTGCTCTATCTTGTCTCCATCCTGGTCTCTTACCTGATATTCCTGGGCAACCTCCTCCATGAGGAATGTGTGGTGACCACGGTGCTCCTGTGACCGCTCACAAAGCCAGCAAATGATCTTCCCATCCTCCTTACAGAAAAGCAGGAGTTTCTCTTCATGACGTACACAGAGATCTCTCTTCTGTTTCTCCTCTGGGTTCAACTTGACCTCCCTGAGCCTCTCCACTATGTTGGCCATGGGCCGATTAGGCCTCAGGTTCCCAAGCTGGTAGCTGATTCGGCACACAGGGCAACTGCTCTCTCCTTCTTGGCCAATCTTGGAGTCCCTGTTGTTTGCAGTGATGCAGGCTTTGCAGAAGCTGTGGCCACAGTCTAGGCTCAGGGGTTCTGTCAGGAGCTCCAGACAGATGGGGCAGGTCACCTCCTCCTTTATGTTCATCAGGATTTCTGAAGCCATTGCAGCTGCTCACCTGTCCTACTTGTCTTGACTTCTGAGGCTCCTCTAGCTCACAGATCCCTGCATGATTGGGAAGGTAAAAGGGGACAGAATAAGAAAGGTAGGAACAAAAGGAAACTAATTGTGCAGACATCAAGGATGAGACAAGACCAAAATATCACAGAACAAGAAAGAAATGGGAGAGAAACAAGGAAAGGAGCTTGGTGACCTTGTAGAAAGGACTTTCATAATAATTTCATGGACTTACCCCCAGTTCACATCACATGACAAATCCCATCCATACTTGTGCAACGATTGATATTTTTCTTTACTTTCACTGAATGAAAGATGACCTGAGTCCATTTCTACCAGGATCCTCATGTGACCCACCATCTATTGCTTGTTCTTTACTATGTTAAAAACACATCCTCAGTGTTAAAAGCATCAAACCACTTATGCCTCTGCGCTATTATACCTGTTCTTCTCTCAGCATAGAATACTGCTCCTGATATCAGCTTGACACACTCTTATACTTAAGTGAACTCTCTCTAGATGTGTTCTCATAGAAAAACCTGCTCTAACTTATTTATAATGCAACCATTACCATCACTTACTATACATTTGTGATGATTTCTCTTATTATCATGACATAATATATGACAGTGTATGTGTGTATGTGAGAAAAGTAAATCCTTTATCAGATGTGTAAAGAGAGATAATAAGTGACTTACAAAGATTATATTGGTTGGATCCAGAGTGGCATTGGGAAGATCAATTAGGAGGAATGCACAGTTGCTCAGAGGAGAGATGATGATATCTGGAGAGACAAGGTGACGAGGGAAATGGAGAGCAGCAGATGAAAATGAGAGTCAAGATGAGGTAGAAGGATAGGAATGAGACACAGATTGGATATGTGGGAACAAAAGGTTACCAGAAGGCCTGAGCTCTTTCTTCCTGTAAAGATGATATTAGGTTACTCTTCTTCTGGTAAGTATTTTTTTTTTCTTTCTGGGAAATCTACTGGGTTACGATAAAGTGGACATTCAGCTGCCTCAATAATAAAAATGGCCTAAAGTGTAAAGTGCATTTGAACTGGGAAGACTATGTATAGATGTTAAATGCCAGTTGGTAAGATCAGACCTCAATTTTCACAAGAGGAATTGTTATTCTTATTAACAAATGTGTCTAATTTAGGCCACTGGAAGCAGTGCTCATGGATTTTCATAAGGTAATCAGTTTTTACAGCAATAGGCTTATCTAACATATGATAGTTTTACATGCATCCACCTAGTTCGGCTTCTTATAAAGCTGAGATGACAGGGATAAAGTATTACCTATACCACTGTAGATCCATCACTGAGAACTCACCTGAGGCAGCTATGCTGGCATGCTATGACTCCTGTCCAGTATCCCCCAGCTAAGCTACATGAACCTGGCAGTTGATGTCTTAATAGCTCACATAGATGGAAATGACCCTCCAGACTGCAAACTGCTGCTGGTGGTCAGCCAGAGGAGGGGAATCACAGAATGGTAGCATTGTGATGCTTATTCTCTGCCCTGGACTCAATATGGCCCTGTGCTCACAATCTAATATGAAGAGTTCTTTCTGGACCTTGAGGCAATAAATAACAAAAGGGAAGATTTCAGTAGATGTTAATGTCTTGATATTTTCCAAAGTTTGAGGGTAAAAGAAAGATCTCCAGCTTGAGATAACAAATAAATTTTACCTTCGACCTACACAGGGAGGGAAAAGCTATAAAGGCTGCATAGAGATAAATTTAGACCTTCTAAAGATGTCAACTTGTGCCACATACATCATACATGAAGGGAACCTGATAAAGAATGAGGCTGAAGGTGAACTAGAAGTGTAATACAGCTAATAGTACAGATACTGAAAATAGTCCAAAAGTCATATGCAGTTAGCCCCTAGCTGCAGAGACTATGGCCCAGAACAGGATCTGATGACTAGCAAGATCAGACGTGGATTTTATACCAGAGGTAGGTATTACATGATAATGCCTACCTCTGTTTATGACTCAAGCTGTGATGCAAACCTGGGGTTGGGGCTTGAAATTATTTCTCATCCCATTCAAGATATAATCAATGCATCAAGAGCCTACAGTCCAGGTAGGATTAGAAAATTATTTTGATAGTGGGGGTCTAAGGAGCTTATGTCAACACAGCTGCTGCCAGAATGGGCAAAGAAGGGCAGGGGCAGAGGAGCTAGAATCCTCTCACAGGGAGAATGACCCCACCTCTACCTAAGCAGTGTCCCAAGGGCTCCACAGCAATCAGGGAGATAGATATGGGAACATGAGTGGTGTCTGCCTCATAGAACTCCCAGGTTGGTTGGCTGACATAGTTGTCAGGTGATTGTACATTACACATTGGTCTTCTGACATATGAGCTCAAAATGTTCCACAGATCCTAGCTAAGAACAAGCAAAAAAAGACATTAAAGACATTAACTATGTAAAAGTCTAAACAATAAGGATATGGACAGAACTTTCTTAGTTTGTCACTGAAAAGAAAAATGGTTTCTTTAAGCATGATGAATCCACAAATTACTGATGTTAAATGGAAAGAGGCACTTTTCTTAAATAAAGTAGAAAACAAAATTATGCTATGTTTTATTTGCCAGGTAGTCATCTAATATAATTTATTATAAACTCCTTATAATCTTAGCAAAGTAAACATTGAAGCAGAAAAGTAAAAACTTAATTCTAAATCCCTGTGATAACTGGCATGACAGAGGCATACTGTATGAGCTCAGAAGACAGGTGCCCGACACTAACTTATGGCTGAGTGGAGGGCAAGAATATGTAGCAGAGTAGATAGTCTCCAAAGTCAACTTTGATAACGTAAGATTGGGTCACATGAGAGGAAGTCAGAGTGAGAAAAGAGATTTGACTGGTGTCCTGCATATGCCTGAGTAAGGTGGGTACAGCTGTACACTCTATAGCAAGGGAGAGTAAATACAGAGGATGCCCTACTCTAACTTCCTTCCCTCATGGGTCTCAAGATCTTGTTAGCATACTTCTTATTCTGAACCCTGTTTATATCAGTGACATCAATCAAGTAACTCATTTTGTTTATTAAAGTTAGAAAAGTTACCACTTCCATACATGCTTCCTACATGCTCCTCTTGCTCCTGATCTCTCATCTGAATTTGGTCTCCTTCTGGCACGTATGGCTGATGGAGAAGGATGAGCAAGGTTAGTGATTTTTTTAAGGAATTGTGCCAATTTCCTGTGTCTGGTCAAGTGAATAAGTGCCAGGTGTCATTCCGTCATGGTTTCTAAGCACGGAGAGGCCCCGGTGATGAGAATTTACCTAAAGAGACATGCAGAAATACTAGATTGTTCCACTGATAAACATTAAACTACTTGGATGCAAACATCCCTCTGCCTGTGCTTCTGGTGTTGGGGGAAGGGACTTTCTACCTCTGGTAAAGCCAGGAGACTGGCTGTCCTTAGCAAGGGACAATTCAAAAGTATCGAACTGGGAGGAGATAGAGATAAATTCAGCTTGGAGAAATAACAGTCTCTCCATGAAAGAAACAAAGTATTTCCCTTCTCCAAACCTCCCTTCTTTTAAGACCACCCCTCCCCCAGACTGCACTTCAGTCAGCACTCTCAGCAGGAAACCTGTGAGCTGGGCCATTTTCCATCCTCAGAACAGCTTCCTGAACACAAGTTAAATTCACTCAAGCAAATTCAGTTCTTTCCTCTGAAGTCTCACAATCTCCACCCTCTACAAACTGTTCAACTCACCTTCACACACCAATGGAGCAGCCCTGTCTCCTTGGAGATTTGAAGGCAGGCTGGGAGCAGATGTGGTCAGGATTCACTCAAAAAACCAAGGGCCTGATCTTCACAAAGTGATCCAGGGGAGGAAGTGAAAATGAAAGTTAAATTCTTAAAGGAGGGCAGAAAAGGACAATAGAAACTATGGAACAATTAGAGGCCTCCATATGAAGCCCCTGGGAAGTGACAAGGTTTGTGCCTGGGCCAAATGGGCAAGCGACTATATTCTTATTCCTGTCTCAGTTCTAGTCCTGGAAGCTGTTTCTGGCTCTTCAAGGTAATTTGTCCTTTGGAGTACTAGGCTTCCCTAGGCAATGGAATTTCACACACACCCACCTTGTCTTATTTCTTTACAAGTGAGCTGTCATGAGGTGGGAATGAAGAACCTCCTTTACCATGGTGAGTACCAAAAAGGAAGGCTCACCTGAGACAGCCATACAGGCATGCTCTCTACTGTCCTGCATCCACCAGCTAAGCTAAGTGAATCTGGCCAGTCTATATCCCATGAGGTCATGTGAGAGGGAATGGCTATCCAAATCTGAAATTGCCTCAGGTGGTAACTGAGAGGGCTTATCACAGTCAAAGCACAGTGATGCTGACTTTCAGAATGTGGATTCAATATGGCTGGAATGACACTTTTCCTAGACTGGGAAGATAAAACTATATGAAGTGTCATTTTTTTGGGCATTGGTATCCAATACTATTTAACATATAATCTCTTTATTATTGCATATGAAAAATAAAGGCAGAAAATAATCGTAATGGCTAATTTTCCATGTCAACTGGACTAACCATGGGGTCCCCAGATTAAACACTATTTCTGGGTGTGTCTGAGTGGATATTTCCAAAGGAGATTGACATTTAAACCTGTCGACTCAGTAAACTTCATTTTCCTCCCAATTCTGCCTGGGCATCATCCAATTTGTTGTGGGCCTGAATAGAACAAAATGGTAGAGGAGAAAAGAATTTGCCCCTTTTCCTTTCTGCCTGCCTGTCTGAGCTGGGGCTTAGGTCGTCCTCTCCCTTGGATTAGGACTTGCACCACTGGCTGCTCTGGTTCTCAAGCCTTGAGAGACACTGATCATACCACCAGTTTTCCTGGTTCTCCAGCTTGACGACAGCAGATTCAGGAAATTCTCAGCCTCCATAATAATGTGAGCCAATATATTATATAGGTGTATATGATCTATATAGCTCTCTATATATCATATTGGTAGTGCTTCTCTGGAAAACTCAGACTATGTATTACTATATTTAGTAATGTAAAATTCTAAAACTCTGTCTTAAGTGGCACAGGTGAACTGTGATAATGATAATGCTAGTGACACAGATGAACTGTGATATTTCCAAAGCTCTGTGCCTAGAAATGCCTTGGAAGTTTGAAGTGTACAAGGAGGATGTTGTAGAGGTTACAATACCCAAAGTCAACCTTAATCCAGTAAGATGTAGTCAGATAAGGGGAAGTCAGGATAAAAGTGAGAGAGCTTTGGCAGGGATCCATCATCTGAGTGAGTCAGTCTGGAGTGAACTGTGCTTTTCACAGGAAGAGAGAGGGTCAACTCAAGCGACACTCTTACTTTAACCTTTTCTCATGGGTCTCAGGATCTTGTTATCATGTCACTTCTTCTGATGTCTTTTCATATTATTAACACCAAAGAAGCATCTCATTTTATTAAACGTTGTAAAGATACTCCTTATGGAAATTCTTCCTATATGTTCTTATCACCCCTGATCTCTCAGGGGAGCTCTGTTCCTTGGCGGCAGATATGGCCCAAGGAGGAGGAGAGGCAAGGTTAAACATTCAACACTCATCATTCATGTTCATTGTTCAACTTTATGTCCTAGCCCAAAAATTTAGGCAAGAAAAACAAATAAAGGTATAAATAGCAGAAAAGAAGAAATAAAACAGTTTCTATTTGCAGATGACATAACAGTTTATATAGACTATCAAGATAAATTTAGAGGAACCTATTAGAATTAGTAATTTAAGCAGGGTCATAGGACACAAGGAGAAAATTTAAAATCAATTACAGTCTGTAATCTGGCAGTGAATAATTGGACAATTAAATTTAATACACCTCTTCAACAATGTCCCCAAATAAACTACCCTGAGGAGATAAAGAATGCTTCACTTTCTACCTCTGGGTCATGAGATAAGTCACCTGGTCTGGCAAGGTTCCTGGCACTGGGAGACACAGGGGATTAGCTAAAGGTTTGAAATCAAAAACAGACCTAAGAAGGAACAATATAGAGAGATTACGAATCAGAATCCATAGATCCTCCATCATCATCCCTGAGCAAATCAGATGATCTTTGGAACCTCCTATCATTGAGTACAAATCATGTTCTCTACTCCAAAAAGGATCTCAGGTCCTCAGGGTTTAGAAATGTCTGGTTACCAACCAGTGACGGTTGTAGACACCATTGCCTGCTCATTGTCCACCGATGAACATGCAGGATGAAGCCTGCTTATCCCCTGAGAGTCCCATGAACTTCCCCCAAACTCTCATTTTAGACACGCATCTCACAAATTCATGGTGTAACACAATGCTATGGTCACAGGAATACAAGATAGAGTAATTGCCACTTAGAGGACTTGTTCATGACAGAATCCACAATTGATTCCCTATAAACTTTTTATTTTCAGTCCAGAATACTTTCTCAGGACAGTTGCTGAGAAGAAGCTACTTGTAGGCTTCATACTTTTATGAGGAAAAGGCTTCATTTAGGGGCCAGAGATGCTGTTATAAAAAGGGTGTCTTGAACTTGCCCTTTGTGCTTGCTAACGCAGGTACTTTTCTCCTTAAGTTGTTTCACAACTTGAACTGGTTTCCTCAATGAGTTACGTCCTCAGTCATTGTAGCAACAGGATGACAGGAAAGCAGAAGTGAAAGGGATTATGGATAAGAATCAATTTTCTCTAGTGCCCATGGATGAGATTTTGAAGACTGTGTGTATGTGTATTTGTGTGTGTTTGTGTATGTGTGTGTGTTTGCATATATCTAACCTGGAATGCATAACTGAAGAATTTCCTGTGAAACAGGGACCAGAGCAGACACTGTTTGGCCAAGGAGTGCATTATTTTTATTTCTCTCAGCTCTTAAATTAGTTGATAAAGAGTTTGAAACAAAAATGCTAAAAGACACGAGGACACCACCATGCACTGCAGGAACACTCAGTGCTGCAGCGTTTGCCTGACTTTCTCACTGCAGGAGGAGAACAGGCTTTACTTCATTCCTGACGACTGCTGTAGCCTTTCAGTTCACTGGAAAGAGTGAGGCTGGTAAGGGAAAAGAAACCTTGACCCACAGCATTGCTGAGGGAGCCCATGACCAAACTCCTAACCCTTCTTCTATCACCGCAGTCGTAATGGGAACAAGCAACCTGAAGAATGGGCAAACAGAAAAGTTTTCTGTTGAGAGGGAATTACTGTGGAAATAGAAAAGAATGTCAAATCAACTTATGTCTAGTGTATTCACTGGGATTTAAGAAGTGGCCCCGGTCATTAAAATGAAAAGCAATCGAAGTACCTTTGAAGATAAAAGTTTCTTTTCTAATGAAGAAATATTTATTATGTGCACAACACAGTTTGTTAACTACAGTCCTGTGCTGAATAACATCGTTTCAGTCAACGAAGAACCAAATACATGATGGTGGTCCCATAAGATTAGTTCCATAAAGTCTTAGGTGTGTAGCAGGCTACCATCTAGGTTTGTATAAGTACACTGTATGATGTTCACAAAATGATGAAATCACCTGATGATGCATTTCTAGAACCTATCCCTGTGCCTAAGTGATGGATGACTATATACGCAGAATGTTGTACAGTAGATCTCTAGAACTTTTTATCTCCCATAACTGAAACTTTATATCTTTTGAAGAGCAACTCCTTAAACATTTCTTAAAAGGCTCGATTTCACGTTAAGTGTCCTTACCACATTTAAAAAAAAAACAGTTTGACTGATATCTGACTATTAAAAAGCAAAATAAAAAAGACTGTTTAGAGAAAAAATAGAATCACTGTGTACTCATGTAACTATCTGTAAGCTGAAATAGAAATATGTGAAGATTTTAAAAAAGGAAATATTTAGTACGCAAAAATATGAAACTAAGGGGGCTGGCCCCATGGCCAAGTGGTTAAGTTCATGCACTCTACTGCAGGCGGCTCAGTGTTTCGTTGGTTCGAATCCTGGGGGTGGACATGGCACTGCTCATCAAACCACACTGAGGCAGCATCCCACATGCCACAACTAGAAGGACCCACAACGAAGAATATACACCTAGGTACTGGGGGGCTTTGGGGAGAAAAGGAAAAAAAAAATGAAATTAAGAAATGATCTGTGATTCTTTAATTAACTTAGTGTGTTTCAAAGCTAAGCAAGAGTACTAATATTTAAGGCAGATTAAGATTCATTCTTAAAATTAATTATTTCAAATAACAGAGAATTAATCAACACTAATCTTAATACGTGCTTAAGTGCTAGGAAATGAGGAAGCTATTACAAACATTCTAATATTTAATTCCCATAGTATCCCCATCAAATAAGTCTTTGTATATTTACTTCTGATGATGAGCTGAATCCTGTAAAGTTTATGTAATAAGAGCCATTGAATAGCAACATCACTAGAGAATGAACTTCAAAGTTCAGATTATTAACTATTATCATCAGATAAATGATCTCAATTCCAGGCTATTAATTGTCTGGTGTTCACCCTCTACATCATGTCAGCTGCAAGAGTGCCCTGGTCAGTAAGTAGCCAACTTGCTTTTAGCCATTACCATGACCTGATCTTCCTTCATTAATGGCTACATGGATTGAGCATATCAACTTCTATTTCCTGGCACCCAAGATTTTCCCATGATGCTCCCAGATCCATCTGCAGATCAGCATCCCATGGGTTCTCCCTCCTACCTCACATCCTAGGGGATCTGGCTCCTACTTTTCTTTGTGGGGTATACCGCAGAGAGGGCACCTGAGCTGGAGAAACTCAGATCTAGTTCTAATCCTGCCTCCTCTACTCTTTAGCCATGGGACCCTGGGGAATATCTCATAAGTTTTTAAATTCTTTCAGCTTCCTCATAGGAATTCCTTCTTCATATGACATTGTTAAAGATTAACTGTGATAATGATATCCTATGTCTATATATATATATACATATATATATATTTTTTTTAAGATTTTATTTTTTCCCTTTTTCTCCCCAAAGCCCCCCGGTACATAGTTGTATATTCTTCGTTGTGGGTCCTTCTAGTTGTGGCATGTGGGACGCTGCCTCAGCGTGGTTTGATGAGCAGTGTCATGTCCGCGCCCAGGATTTGAACCAACGAAACACTGGGCCGCCAGCAGCGGAGCGCGCGAACTTAACCGCTCGGCCACGGGGCCAGCCCCTATGTCTATATATTTTTTATGCATAGTTATATATGTACCTGAGAGTGTGTGTGTGCGTGTGTGTGTGTGTGTGTGTGTGAGTATGAGTGTGTACGCATACACCATTCCCAGACCAAGTGCTTTCTTTTTCATTCCACTCGGACAAGTTATTACCCTTCTATATGCTGATGTGGGCGCTGTGTGGCAGGCTGCCCAAGTTTATAATGCACATCCTCTAAGAAAATGTGGACCTTTGGGGCTGGCCCCGTGGCGCAGCTATTAAGTTTGCACGTTCTGCTTCTCGGTGACCCGGGGTTTGACAGTTCAGATCCCAGGTGCGGACATGGCACTGCTTGGCAAGCCATGCTGCGGTAGGCGTCCCACATATAAAGTAGTGGAAGATGGGCACGGATGTTAGCTCAGGGCCAGGCTTCCTCAGGAAAAAAGAGGAGGATTGGCAGTAGTTAGCTCAGGGATAATCTTCCTCAAACGCTTGAGTATACCCCATATATATATGGAAGGAAAAGCCCTGAACAGCAAAAACCTGTCCCTTTTAAAGGTAGCTGTCCTTACATATGGCTCCCTCTGGTGAGTAGATTTTTGGAAACCCCTACTTTAGCAGCCTTCAGAACCATTTCTAATAAAGGCCTTAATAACGGTCCCAACCTCAGTATAAAATGTTCTATAGAACAAGACTGGAACTGGAGCGGTCTTGACAGCGGAGTCTGAGAAATGAGACCTTAGTGGTATCAATTACTGTTCCTCTGAGGGACACATATCAGTTGCCAAGGCCATTGACATACTTGTACTCTTCAGTAGTCATGAGAAAAAAATATTTATTATATTGTGCAAGACACTTAAATAGCTGCTTTTCATTGACACTTAGTTTTACACATGGATCTGAGTTAGGCATAGTTTAAAATCCCAATTTGATTTTACGAAAAAGAAACCCTGAAATTGTTCATCATTACACATCTTGTAAAAGAAGAAACAGGGTTTGAACTCAAACATTCTGTACATAAAATCTTCACTCTGGGTACATATATTGCTTATGTTTTCCTTTCTTTGACTCCCTGGTGAACTCAGTATATCCTGTGCAACAAATGGACAAAGACTCCTTGGTTGCTGTTGGTGGGGGGAGGTTGATTATGGCCTCTTCTAGATAAAGTGCATGGTGGCAGACAGGTTTTTCCATGTCTTTTCAGATCAGGAATAAACGGAAATATTGAGAAATGGGAGGGAAAACATGTTATATCAATACTATTCCACCGTTAGCAGGAATTAGACATCTTTCTTGACAATACAAAAAGGGTAAATGGCAAATAAGCATCTCTCCTAACTCCAACCAGATACATTGTCTATCCCAAGGATGAGTAAATGTACTAAAGGAAAGAAGTGAGACAACAAGGAAGAGATGGTATACCTGCTGCAGGTGAGCACAGGTATACAGATGAAAGCCAGAACAAGGAGTACTACAAGAAGTGGAGGAGGGAAACAGAAGGTTCAGGAACTCAGTGGCCACAGAGTCACAGGAGCTGCCCAGTTCCAAAGATTGAAATACGGATAAGCAGTCTGAGAAAAGTGACATTTAGAGATCTTGTAAACGAATGACTCATGGTTTGTGACGTTGAAAAACGAGACAGTGCCTGTTTCATAGTCTAGCAAAACCTCAACATGATGGGGAGGAACAGCCAACAGAGAACACCTGAAGCTAAAATCACGGGACCTATTAATAACGACAAATTCTGAAAAGGGATCAGAACATGGAAATGTGAAGACTCTAATTTCTTCTTACCGTAGTAGCACTGGACTTCTCTCAGCTCTGAAATGACAAAAGTTGCAATGATGTTGTTAGAAGCAAAGGAGTAAACCCTGATACCAATCCTCTCTCTAGAGTGGGAACAGGGGAGGGCTATGAACTGGTGAATGAGAGCACAAAGCAAAAACCTGGCCATTCCCCCTTATATCTGATCACATCTGTAGCACAGGATCTCTCCCTTCTTGTCAGGCCTACCTCCTCTCTTTTACCCCCATGGTATTTCACACCTCTGAAAAAACTATTTGCTGCATGGAGAAGTCACTGCCATCTCAGTGGTTCCACCAGGTCCCAGGCAGATGATAGTAGAGAGGCTCCAGAACCTGGTTCCTGAAGAGTTTAGGTTGTCATGTGTGGGGTTCCTGTGCTCGAAGTCTGAAGGGTCTCCAAAGCCTGTTATCCCAGTCCAGATGCCCAGAGATTAGCATTTCAGGTCACATTCTCTGGAGTAATGTTACACATACTTGGAAAAGAAGAAGATATGATGACTAAATTAATAGTAGTCTGAATTTCATGAGTTTGGGAAGATCTTGATACTACCAGGTGAGTAGTCAACTGTTGCCATAAGAAAACATTTTTCCTACAAGATGATAAAGTGTGTAAGCATGAAGAGATTAATTATTGGCACCAGGAACAAAGCCACTATTACTAGAAACTTGAGTCTAATTTTAGAAATCCAAAGAAAGCCACCTCCAAAGACCTTAGTTTTTCTATTTTCAGGAAGAGAACTAAGTATAAAGGAGCTGTTTTTGTGAAAAATTTGGGGGCCTGGAATATAAAAGGAAAGGATCTTCCCTGTTATAATACAAGTACCTAACAAATAGGAAACAAGAGGTGAGGCAGAGACTGAGGTTTGGCTAAAATGACTAAAGTCATGGGGTTCTGATAGAGTAACCCCTCCTTTCTAATACCTTTGTTGGCTCTAATTCTGTGACCTCCTACCAGCCACATTTCCTACCATTGACAACTTTCATCTGTGATCAGCAATTTGAAACAATGTAATACTCAAATTCCCCAGCCCTGTGGTTTGTTTGAAAAAATTCTGCTTGATCCCCTAACACTCATGGCTACAATTCTGTCTTCACACAAAAATGGACCATACCTGGTCAGAATATGGGATACAAAATGTAGAGATAAGATTCAGACCAACCATCCTTGGGGACTCATGTGAGGATGTTGGAAAGATGTTTCAAGTATCTGGAGATGGGATACGTTCAAAAGGAAGAGAAGAGGCCTACTAATGTGTTACATACATCTACGAGAAGACCTCATTAACTTATTAAGTATTTATTTATTCTAGAGACAAATACAGGTGAAATCTACTATTTGCCAGACATCATTCCAGATTAAAGGGAATGAAAGATGAATAATTCATAATAGTCTTCAAGAAGTATACATTGTTATGCTGCAGATACAAGGAAACATGCACTTCCAATCAACGCTTCCTTTGCCTGCCTCTCCTAACTCTATACATCTCCTACATACTACCTATAGGTGATCTCATCAATTTTTAAGTATAAAATAAGCCACAGGGACCAGCACCTAAGAAAATCTAAAACCTAAAATACTATTTCCAAGCTATTCACATGCAATTGTCCGGAATGTTACTATTATCCCCTCAGTCACTGTCTTAGAAATTATAGTATCTTATCCTAATTCCCGTATTGTAGTAAGCAGTCTACTCTATATCCACAACTTATTTTAGTCATCTTCTTTTCCCCATCATAGCCATTATTTGATTAATACTTTTTAACAGAAATGTGCCAATATAGTTTCCCCTCTCCAAACTAACCCTTTTGTACCAAAGAGTTGGCCACCAGTTGGCTTTATATCTGCAGAAAAGTTCCACTAGGCTTTTTTGGGGTTATATATGACAAAAACCAAACCAAAAATGACTTAAACTTAAAAGAAAGAAGAAGAAATCCAGGGGGCAGGAAGAACTTTAGTCTTAGCCATGT